CTTAATTATTTAATTTGTTTTTAATATTAAATTATATATTAATTTATAATTATAGTGTTTTTATGTCCTAGTTTAAAAATTAGAAGAACTTTAAATAAACTAATTTATTTTGCACTAATCAATTGAATTTAAGCATTAAATTATTTTTTAGATAGAATCATCGCTGCTTGTCAGACAAACTCCAAACTCCACTCCATTGTTGAAAAGAAAGGAAAGATATATGAGCGTCGTTTGGAACAACCAACGCCAAATGTATCTATGGGAGAAGTTATACTGAACAAATTGCGCGAGAACGGCAATCATGTTTATGCAGTATGTGCCATAATTACGAAATTCATGTTAGCAATTCTTAATTACAGGTCGATTACCTGCGAAATTCCGAAATACATATAATAACGAAGAGCGCTAAATCAACAAAAGTTGTTTTGTAATTCTATTAGCGCTAATCACGAAATTCGCGAGTTTCCTCTCTAAACTTTGCCTGTCACATTATGTATCGCTTGTAAGACTTATAGCCTCTTGTTCACATTGCATTTTTATGTTAATTTAATGCTTTTGCTTTTAAGATCCAAGTACTAGAAATTTAAAAGATATTCACTAAAAAGAAGGCACAAAAAGGGCAATATTTAATCAATTAAACAATAATAATAATTTAAATTAGACAGTATGTAAAAAACACAAATAATGTCAAGAGCATCTTCTATGGTCACGGCTGGATCTTGCCTAATAAATTCTATATAAATTTCTAAATCCATTATACAATTATTTATATACTGCGCGTCGAATCAATTTGGGACTTGCAACGCAATCATTAGCTGAAACTGGAAGCGAGATCATTATATTGATCTTTAATTTTTAATAAATCGATCATACTTAATGAGCCTCTTAAAATACTGCGAAGAACTTATTGCAAAAAATATTACCTCAGTCAGAGAGTTTGAACCTGGAACCTTTAATCAGTTATATATTTTACAATCATAAAACGTTTTTTGTAGTTATATTATTAAACACATTTGTATTTTGTATTTAAATTTTATTGTAAGATTTATGTATATAACTAATACAATATATTTTTAACGTGTATTAAAAAAATCCAATGTTCATTTAGCATGTAAAACTGAATTAAAAGGATTAATTTTTACTTTAGAATATCTCATGATTATATATTGACTTTATACAATTGCAAAGAGATTTTATTTTCTCGTAGATAGACGGACCAACCGGCAATCAGATAACATATAGAGAACTACTCCAGAAAAGCGTGAAGTTCGCAAAGTTTTTACAAAAGTTCGGGATAAAAATAGGGGATAGAATTGGCATTTCAACCGAAAATCGATTGAATTGGTTAATACCAGTTTATGCAAGTTACTACATCGGTGCTACAGTTGCACCGTATAATCCTATGTACACAGAATGTAAGTATAAAAGTACTATTATGTAATATTTACTATTGTACATATATTACTTATAATATATGTATATGTCGCAGGCTTTTTGTGTAATCAGCCTTTTTGCAAAAAGGCTGATTATACAAAAAGGCTGCAATATATACACATATATATTATCTGTAATACGCACATTTTTTTTTTTTAAATGCAGTCACAAATTTTATATACAGGGTGTCTCGTACTCAATGATACAACGCTTGTGGGAAAGTAGTGTGGACCAAATTAAACAAAAAAGTCCTCTACCATTTTACGATCTTTGCAATAATTATCGAGATACTAATCATTAAAAAAAAAATTTACGCCAAGTATATACAAATGTATCATACATTAGGTACATCTTATCTAAAACAAAAATATTATTTTAACAAATAAAAGTTGTTCAAAAACAAATATGAAATTATACAAATTGTCAAGTATTTGATTAGACATAGAGAGTAGAAACAAAAATATTTTGTTCCAAACCAGAAAAATATTTTTTTAATAAATTGTTTAAATTATTCAAAATTATATGCAGCAAAAATTTAATGCCATTGTCTTTCCAAATCTTTAAGTTTTGTAAAACAGACTTAAAGTTATTA